CTCCTGAGGCTTCAACACGGTCCAACTATTTACAAAATGGCCTCCCCAGGCTCCAGAGGCTCTCTGGAAGCCAGAAACGGGCCCATTTCCGACCTTCCTGAACTTCTGAGAGGCCCATTTTTCACCCTCCCCAAGTCTCTGTGTGCACCCTGCACTTACCTGCGCCTAAAACAGGCCACGTGGAGACTCCTGGGATGGGATGGGAGGGGTAGGCGGGGCCGGCCAGGTGTGGGATTTGGGGGTTCTCTGAACTGCGCAGAATCTTAGCTAGGGGCTCTCCCTAGTGAACCCCCAGAAGCCCACCCCTGAAATCACATGACCCCGGGATACCGCAACCGTCACAAATGGGAGTCAGGTGTGCCAAGCGCCTGAATTTTGATCACAGGGATGCTGCGATTGTCGTTAAGTGTGCAAAATGGTCGTAAGTCCCATGTCAACTCATAAAACATTTTGTATACACGTTTTATAGTTGACAACAGAAAGAAAGGGGGGGGCGGGAGTTTCAAAGAGCAGACGGCAGTGTGGAATCGAAAGTACATTCTATTCATATTTTCTTCAAAGACTGATTAGATGACTTGAAGCTTCTGCTGTGCCAAAATCTAATTGGAGAGCATGATTGATGACTCTTGGCTATGGACGTGTTTCGTTGGATGATACACCCAGAGGGGTGGGGGTTAGTGGGGAAAACAGGATCAAGGGTGACAGTGAATTACGTATCTCAGAGTTGGTTACACCCAGGTTAGTGCAGGACGCAGAATAAATCCTCCTTAGTTTTGGGGGTGTGGCTGATTTAATTGGAATAACTGCCGGAATTATTTGCACCAAGACAAATTCTCTGTGTGTCCAATCACACTTGGCCAATAAAGAATTCTGTTCTATTCTATTTTTCTGTGCAAAGGGAAATACAACTGCAACTGGGCTGAGTGGTTATTTTTTTATTAAAAATCTTTCCAAGGACAGTTAAAATTGAAATGTCAAGAGGGTGTCATTCATTTACACTGAGAATTTCCCTTCAGGGAATTGCAGGTTTTCAATCGCCTTCTTTTTTCAGTTCAATTTCACGCACACATTCCATACACTGTTTTGAGAATAGAATAGCACAGAATGGAATAGAATTCTTTATTGGCCAAGTGTGATTGGACACACAAGGAATTTGTCTTGGTGCAAATGTTCTCAGTGTAAATAAAAGAAAAGATGCATTCATCAAGAGTCAAGAATCATTCAGGTACAACACTTAGTAAGTCACAGGGTACATTAAACAATCAAATCAAATCCTACTAGGAAACAGTCCATATAAATCGTAAGGATACAAGCAACGAAGTTACATTCATACAGTCATCTTGGCATGAAGTGGGAGGGGATGGGTGATAAGGAGTGGGGTGAGAAGATTAATAGTAATAGTAGTGCAGACTTTGTAAATAGTTGGACAGTGTTGAGGGAATTATTTGTTTAGCAGAGTGATGGCATTCGGGGAAAAAACTGTCCTTGTGTCTAATTGTTCTGGTGTGCAGGGCTCTATAGTTTTGAGGGTAGAAGTTGAAACAGCTTATGTCCGGGATGTGAGGGGTCTGTAGATATTTTCACAACCCTCTTTTTTGACTCATGCAGTATACAGGTCCTCCATGGAAGGCAGGTTGGTAGTAATTGTTTTTTCTGCAGTCCTAATTACTCTCTGAAGTCTGTGTCTGTCCTGTTGGGTTGCAGAACCAAACCAGATAGTTATAGAGGTGCAGAGGACAGACTCCATCATTCCTCTGTAGAACTGGACCAGCAGCTCCTTTTATTCCCTTTTAACAGCTATTTGCATATTCGCCTCGCTTCTGCGGGCGGAGAAAGGAAAGAAGTGGGGGGAGCGTTATTTTTTTAAAATTATATATATTATTTTTTTAACCCCTCCCTGCTCAGATCTGCGTCTGTCACGTGACTCTGGTCGCCGCTAGACTCGTGTGTCCAGGGGCGGGGGGGAATATTGCTCTGATAGACGTAAATAAATAAGAAATAAAATCTAATATCGACGGGGCAATTTTTGCCAGCGGGGGTTAAGCTGATTCCAAACCCGGGGGGAATTCCAGAAGGAAAGCGACAACAGAAAGAGATTTCTATTTTTTTTTAACCTCCCCCTTCCTTCCTTTCCCCCCCCCCCGCGGGGTGGTATCGTCCGAACGTCGGGTTTTAAAAAGAACCCCTGGGCAACGCAACATTCCAAATCAGAACCTTGGAGAACCTGCGAACGTTCTCTCGGCCCTTTGCGAGGCGGTGCGCGCGCAGCCATGGCGGTCAAGATCAAGGTGGTTTATTGGTAAGGAAATTCCCGGGGAATTCCCGTGGGGCGGGGGCGCCTCTGCTGCAGCCTTTTGGGGAAGGGGCTGCCAGCCGGGCGGGGCCGGCAGAGCCGTTTGCATCCTTGCGGGATCTTTGGGGGGAAGGGTTCCCCCCCCCCGCATTAATACAGAATAACAAAGTTGGAAGGGACCTTGGAGGTCTTCTAGTCCAACCCCACTGCTGAAGCAGGACACCCTATACGATTCGACACAAGGGGCTCCCTTCCTAGGGCGGTTTGCAGGTTTAATGGGTGGCGTTTTATAGCCGTGGGAATCTTGCTGTCTTTTTTTATTCATTTATTCCCGTGCAAATTTCTTTTTTCTTTTTAAATGAATGGAATGGGAAAAGGGGGGGGCTCCGGATTGCGGGGAAAGGTTGCTGTTGCCTGGGGAAATGAATAACTCTGCAGCCTGGGGGTCAAAGCAAGCTGCGTCCTTCGGTCCCATTGCAGGCGATAATAAGGAGGGCGCATCGAGCCAGGCACGACGGCGGCTGGGTTAGGCCGTTGGAGCAATCAGCTACCTGGAATTTCGGAATTTTCAAACCTTTTATTGTCGGAGGACAACCGGTGTACAATGAGATTGGGCTGAGCCTCCCTTCGTGTGCACCCCCCCCCCAAAAAAAAACCCACAGTACAATTCACAGTGAGACAGAAAACCCCTAACCCAGTAGATCCTTAGTAACAAACACACAATTCTATTGTACCATATGAAGTTATTGCACGCTGTGTTGTTGTAAAGCTGGGATATCCAAACGTGGCAACTTTTAAGGCTTGTGGACTTCAACTCCCAGAATTCCCCAGCCAGCCATGCATGAAGACCCTCTTGTAAAGTTATTTTCCATTCAGGAGTCTGACAGCCCACGGATTTTTTTTTATTTAAAAACCCTGTTCTTCGGCCTGTTTGTGTGGCTAGCCTGTGCTTCGATATCTCCTTCCCGATGATAGGAGAGTAAAGAGGGGAGGGGGTGGCAGGTCCCTGGATTGGTATCATGAAAGATGCCCTGCTTTAAAAAAAAAAAAAGGATCTGTGAGGTTTGGGCTGAGCTGGTGAGAAGTGAAATCTTCCAACGTTTTCTTGAAGGTGAGATTTGCAAAAAAAATAATAAAAGTTGGCTTGTGTACATGCTGTTGAGTGCTTTTTGGGGGCAGAGGGGGGTGATTTTTAAACCATGGGTCATTGAGGCTGCCTTTTTGGGGATGGGAATGCATTAGGAATCACTCGGTGAGCGAGACGGGTCGAGTCAGGGTTCGGGAGATTGCCCTAATTAAACCATGAGCCTCGGGCCAAGCTTCAGAAAATTTATTAGGAGCAACATGTCGGCATTAATCTAAATGAAGCCAGCTCTGGCATATGTAATTTACAGTCCCCTGTTTCCCCCCTCCCTTCCGAGTATGTCATAAATCAAATTCTCCAATGAAGCAGGTGTTCACAGGCTGGGTGTCATCAATCACATTCTCCAATGAAGGATTTTTCCGGGCAGAAGATCCGGTAGCCTAGCTACAAACTTTGTAAGATAAGGGTAGAATGCACTTCTGGTTTTAAACGGCTGTACTGCTCCTTCAGATTCCCCCTCCCGTTCATGACAACTCAAAAACAGTTGACAGGTGGTCTCTTGACTAGGATAAAGAAATAAAATTAAAAATGCCTGTGTGTATTTAGGGCTAGGCTTGGACTGTGTACAGATAGTCCTCGACTTAATGACTGCAAGGGAGCCCAGAATTTCTGTCATTAAGAGAGACATTTGTTAGGTGAGTTTTGCCATATTTTATGACCTTTCTTGCCACCGTTGCTAAGTGAATCACTGCAGTTGATAAGTTAGTAATCTGGTTTCTGGATTTGTCAGTATAGGGATCTGATTATGCATAATAGAGAATTATGATGATGAGACAGCTTCTTGTGCTGTCAAATGGGAAGTAATGTGAATTTTTCCTTTTGTTTTGCTTCTAGTGGAGCCTGAGGCTACAAACCCAAGGTAGGTCAATTGTTTTTAATTGTGAGCTGCCTTGTCATGTGTATGAAATGGGCATCTATGTGCATGCATAAAGTAAAATACAATAAATGTATTCACTTAGCAAAGATACTTTGTGACTGATTGAAGAGCCCAGATAAGCGACTTGTCACATCTGGGAGTTCTATCTATCTTTTAATATGCATGTTTCAAATGAGCTTTAATTTCTCTGATAAACCATTTAGCTTTGATTTTTCTGAACTTTACAATTTTCTCCTTTTTTTCCTCTTGTAGTTTCAACAGCTCAAGAAGGAACTCGAAAAAGAGTTTCCGGGCAAGCTGGAAATTGTGAGTCTTTCCAGCCATTCGTAATTCCACCTTTCTTTTCTTCATGGGTAAATGAGATGACCGAAATGAGTAGATTTGGGGGTAAGAAGAAGGATTCTGTCATTTGGCTGGCCATTTTAAGTAATTTATCAACTGCACTTTAATTAAAGGTCTTGTCTCTGTAAAGACACATGACGCAAGTTGAAAAACTTGCTCTAAAAACGTATCTTTTACAGACCACTTCCATGTAGTAGAGTGAAAGTTGCTGAGGTTGAGAAACACTTGAGAAACACTGCAGGTAGTCCTTGATTTACAAAGTTTGTTCAGTAATCATTTGAAGTTACAATGGCACTGGAGGGGGTGGGGGGGGAAGGGACATGGCCCCTTTCCACACTTGACCGATGCCACACCCCCATGGTGACTTACATTTGGGGGCTTGACAATTGCATCCAGGTTAGATTCAGTCCATACGTAGAGTGCTGGAGAGGGATCTAGGTTCAAAGAGATCCCGGATGGAGAAAGAGGGTGCATGGCTTGCGTTTCAGCCTGTGGTGGTGGTGGTGAAGGGGTGATGTTGGTGTTTTGGTTCCATCTAGAGCGGCGAAGGGACTCCACAAGTCACAGGATGGTTTGAAGTGATGGTAGCTGGGAAGATGGTGCACTCCAAAAAGGTAAGCAGCTCAACAACAACAACACCTTTGCACTGAAGTCAACAAAGAACAACGAAGAACAAAGTTGCTGGGAGCTCAGCTGTGCAAGTTCTGATGGTTTATGAAATCAACTCTGGTTGATTGTGGTTAAACACAACACCCTGTCAAGCCTAAAGCTAAGTAAACCATAGTATGGCTTAGCAGGATGTCTGGATTCAGGGTTATTAAGCTAGGAGACAAGGTGCTGTCTGGAAGACAATCGGGGTTTTGTTTGCAGCTCTTTGAACTCTGGGGAGTTTGCGTAAAGTCCACCATGGGACGGGAACCATGGCTTCTTTGTGCCTACGAGCACGTGGGCGTGGAAGGAGCTGGGCTGTAACCCTGCTTTAACCTGTATTTAAAATACACAGGAAACCTTTCATTGTGGAAGAACTCTTGGGAGGGAGTCCTGAAATGATAGTTCAAGATGACAAGAATGGAATAGAATAACAAAGTTGGAAGGGACCTTGGAGGTCTTCTAGTCCAACCCCGCTTGTCCTGTCCTCAGGTGCTTTGGAGAATAGCTTGACTCCCTCTTCTTTCTGGGCAGCCCCTGAGATATTGGAAGACTGCTATCATGGTTGAGATTTCTTTCTTTTTCCTCACTTCTATACATAACTAATTTCTGTTGCATTGAGAACAATGCTTCCTCTCATTAGGAGAAAATCTAGTTACAAGCCTGGACAAATTTGCTTTCCCAGGAAGAGTATCTGAATCTGCCTGGAGGCACATGCTTTGAGCATGCCCTGGCATGAAAAGTCTTTGCTATTCTTAGAACTGTAGCAACTTCCTTGTGTTGGTTATGCAGCAGAACTGGAATCTTTCCTTCTTTTCTCCAGAACGGAGATGGCTTTGTGGACAACAATGCCAAACTCAACAAGATAATTGAGGCCATCAAAACAGCTTTGGCATGAGGACGGCTTTAGGCCATGGCTAGCAGCTCAAAATGCAAGAGGTAAAATCGGACTTAGTTTGAAGTTCCCTTTATTTCTCTTATATTCTGAAAGACCCGTGTCTAAAAAAAAAACACCTGCTGTAAAGAATGATGGGTCTGGGGCCTGTATAGGGATGACATCGCTCTTTACCTTCTCAAAAGGGTCCCAGTAAAATGTTGCTTTTTCCCAAATGGGAATGCACAAGCTCTTTTTAAAGAATTTATTACAGAAAATACCTCTCTAAAGGCTGGTCTGGAGGTGGATCTTTTATTAACATTGGCTTGGAGAATTTCTACAGATGGCTTTGTCTGTGTACTACAGATCTGAAGCCTAAAAAGGCTACCATGTTTTTTTAAAAATAGCTTCTATCCTGCCTCCTGCAAATAATCAAATGTGATTACTTTTAATGTTATTTACAGCTACAAATGTGATTACTTTTAATGTTATTTGCTAAAACAGCTACCATTAGCAATCCTTCATTCTAAAGAACCTTTTGTTCCAGGTAGTATTTATGAAATTTCGACCCATAATCAGCGGTTTATGATTCAATTCATATAGAGTATTTTTAAGCCACTGTGAGTGGGGCTGTGCCACCCAAAAAACCTAACCATAGCTAGTCTATATCTAAAAATGGGGCACGCCTTACCAGCTAACCTGTGAAACGTGTTCAGATCTGCAGGAAACAAAAAAGTATTTTGCAGAAAGACATGGTGCTTTAGGGCAAACAATGGCTAACTTTTCCTTCCACATGCAGGATTTTAAAAACAAATTTCTCCTTTATTTGGTAGCTCAAGATAAAAATCTGTTTTGTTCATCTTGGCAAATCGCTCAATGACGGGAGCTGCTGAAATGTTGCCCGACACCTGGCAGTTCCCTGAAAACTCTCCGCTGGATGCCAACTTGATCAAGGCTGGATGGAAGAACTTGTGCTCTAACTCAGTGTTTGGGTGTGAATTAAGTCTGCAATTCCTAACGTATTTGTCTTCAGTTTTCATTGTGTGCTGCATGCAAATATGGCTTTCTTTGGGGTTATTTTTTTTTTAAAAAAAAATACTTGCATTATTGGCCAGTAATTTTGAGAAAGGATTACTGAAAAACAGGAAGAGTGGAAGATTGATCAAATATTTGCTTTCATCGTACACAAACACTTCCAATATATGACGGAACCGATGTAAAAAAAACCTCTGCCTCAAACTACAATTTTAGAATCCTAAAACAACTTGAAAATGTGCATTTTCTTTCTTTCCCACAGCTCCTATCTTCCCTCTTTCAGGATTGTGTGCTTTATACCCACTTCTGACTTATTTGCTCAAATATTGGCAAATGCACTGAACATTTAATAAAATGTTACTTCCAAGATGTTGCAACACGTGTGAAAGCACAAGACTCAATCTGCCCTTATGTCACAGTAACTCTTTAGATCTATTGGAGATTGATACATTACTTATTGACTGCATTTATATAATCACCTTTTCTCTTACAGAATTTTTTATTGGCCAAATGTGATTGGACACACAAGGAGTTTGTCTCCTGTGCAGAAGCTCTCGGTGTACACACATATAACAAAGTGATAACAATATACTTAGACTTATATACTGCTTTACAGCGCTTTTACAGCCCTCTCTAAGCGGTTTAGAGTCAGCATATTGCCCCCAACAATCTGGGTCCTCATTTTACTGACCCTGGAAGGATGGATAAGTCATAGAGCATAAATCATAGTTACAATAATTAATCATAAGATGCAAACAAGTGATAAATCATAAGATTACCAACAGGAGATAGTAGGAAGGATGAGAAAATATGAATGTCACACACACACAGGACTTTGCTGCAATGGATATAAGGGCAAGGACTGGCCATAAATCACTTTGTAACTCTGAACAGTTGCTAGCCAGTTTGGTCTAGCGGTTAAGACAAGCTAGAAATTTATAAAAGTCCATTAAATGACTTTGGACCCATCACTCACCCTCAGCCCAAGCCACCACACAAGGTGGTGGTTGTGGGGAAAATATGAAGAGGAAGCAGCATTAGATACATTTGCTGCCTTGAATTATTTAAAAAAAATAAATGGAATATATCAAATAATGGCTGTAATTATAGCACTACCTGTATATGTAGTCCTCAACCTGTGACCACAATGGACCCCAAAGTTTACACTGCTAAAAGCAAGATCGTTAAGGGAGTTTTGCCCCATTTTACAACCTTTGTTGATAAAGTTAAGTGAATCACTGCAGTTCAGTTAGTCACAAGATTAAGAGAATGAACCTTTGAATTGGCTTGTCAGAAGGACGCAAAAGGGAATCACGTGACCCCTTTCCTACCGTCATAAGTTTGAGTCAGTTGCCAAGCATCTAAAATGTTGATCATATGACCATGAGGATGCCGCAAACGGTCGTAAGTATGAAAAATAGTCCTAAGTCCCTTTTTCCCCCACTTTGGATGGTCACTAAACGAACTTTTCTAAGTTGAGGACCACTTGTATATATATATGTCCATATATCTATATATATGAGAGAGAGACAGATATGAGATCGAGGACAGAGAGAGATCAAGAAATTCCCCTCAGAAAGGATCCGTAACGTCTCCGAGCGGGAACCTTCGGCGCCCCCTTCCCGCGGGGTTTCAGGGGTATCCTGCGAAGCCAGATTTGTAAATCCTCTATTTATCCCCGGGATGCCTCATCCCAGCCACCGTGGAGCCGAGAACCACGGCTTGCGACGACGCCAAATCCTCCCGGGCTCGTGAAAGAGCCGAACGAGGCGACGGGAAGGCCGCGGGTCCAAGATGGCGGCCTGCGCGCCATCTTCACCTCAGCTGACCCTCCCCCTTCCTCTCCGCTCCCGCCTCCTTCTCCAGCCGCAGTGCATGACGGTTAAAAAGCCTGGCCCTGGAACCCGCCATTTTCTGTGGGGGCAGGCGGGAAAGGCGGGAAGTCGGCGAGGAGGCAGCGCGAGCGCGGCCGCGACACGACCCAACGGCGCCCACGGTCGCAGAAGCGCGAGGCGGACGAGCTGAGGTAAGCCCCACCGCCGCCCTTTCCGTTAGCCTCCTTTCGATGGAGGGTGTGTGAGGGGGGCAACGGGGGAAAAAAGGGGGTCGCCTTACAAACTTGAGGTCGTTTTGAGGCGATGCGTTTCATCTTCCTGCCCCCCCACACACACCCGTAGAGCTTAAATCCCGCCTTCCGTGTGCTTCCCCCGGCGATTGGTCGAAAGGGCGATGATTACGGTAGCGTTCGTGATAGGTTGGAAAGGTGGAGGCTGATTGGCGCCCAGTCGGTGTCAGTCTGCCTGGAGCCTTTGAAGCTATCCCGCCGGGCCCCCCCCTCCTCTTGCTCTTTAGCGAGCCCGGGCTAGAAGGCGATTGGGTGGCGGCGCGCTGGCCACTGGGAAAGAAAAGCTTCGCGGCGTACGTGCGTTGCGGGGGAGGCGGAGGTATGGCTGGTGTTCCTAACGTTCCGAACAGCCAATGGGAAGAAACGGTTTCCGCAAGGGCTTCTGGGGCGCGGAGTCTTCTCTCGTCTCGCGCAACCCAGACGGCTCACTGCAGGTTTCACTTCAACTCCCAGAATTCTAAGCCGCATATTCGGGACAGGAGCTTCTAAGTAGGAATTCTGGGAGTTGAAGTCCGGTGGGCCCTGACAGACCCGGATAGTCATATCTTTAATTATTTCTAGATGTGAGGCTGCCCAGTTTTTTGTTCTCTTCCTCGTTTTTGTTCCTGGGCTCTGATCCTACCTTAATCTCTCTCTCATTTATTACAAGGAACTCTTTTTCACTTTTAATGATTTTTTTTTTTTAAAAAAAGCTTTTTTGCCGCCTCTTCATCAAAAGTTGCCATGTGACAAGAAAACACGGGTCCAAAGCTGTATTTTTATGTCTAGTTTTTTTTTTTTTTTGCAAATATTTAAGATTTTCCTTGTGCTGCAAATGTATTACCTGCCAGTACGTCAAATTCCTATCTTTACAGGTAGTCCTCGACTTATGACCGCAACGGAGCCCCACGTTTTTGTTGTTAAGTGAGACATTAAGTGCTAAGTGAGTTTTGCCTCATTTTGTGACCTTTCTTGCCCATGGTCGTTAAGTGAATCACTGCCGTTGATAAGTTAGTAACCTGGTTGTTAAGTGAATCTGGCCTCCCCCGCCTGTGACTTTGCTTGTCAGAAGGTCTCAAATGGGGGTCACTGCGACTCATAAATATCAGTCAGTTGCCAAGCATCTTCATTTTGATCATGAGATTAAAGGTCGTAACTCTGAAAAACAGTCAACTTCTTTCAGTGCCATTGCAGTTTTGAACAGTCACTAAACAAACTGTTGTAAGTCGAGGACTACCTGCATTTACTGCATGTTTGGTGCCACTTCAATTAGAACAAATGGCTTATGGCCTTAGTGAAACTCTCCCCCCACACATACACCCAATGGAAAAAATAAGACAAACTAATCAGACTAAACAGATCCAGCACCATTTTTTTTAAAAAAATAATTTTTATTAAACAAATTTTCTTATATACAACAAGTAGGGAACGAATGGAAATGACGCAGCAACATTTTTTTAAAACCTCAGAACAAACACGGCCTCAAGAAGATCATTCTTCTCAGAAATATGAAAGTTAAGATATAATTAATGGATTAATTAAGGACGTTGAAGGATAATAGATGTTTTTTAATAGAAACAACTAAGCAAAGAAGAAAGATAAAGAGTGATATTAAGGACAATAAGGACAATAAGATAAGATTAGAGAATAACACCAAGTAATATGACTGTAAACACTAACTGTATTGCACAAGATTTTTGTATCCAGACGACACGTCAAATGGAAGAAGATATGTTTGTAATAAAATATACATATACATACATACATACATATATTTGTTTTTGTAGATTTTCACGGGTACAGGTATGTAAGTCTAGGTGTGTTCGGGTCTTTTCCCGTATAAGATTAAGAGTATCTTGGCGACTTTTCGGCGAGGTCCCACTCGCCATCCTCAGGCTGGTGCTTTCAGCTTCATGCCAGTGCAAGCAGTGTGTCACAGACCCGAACACACAGCTTTGTTCAGGTATTTTCCCACATCATTATAGTTCTGCTTTTAAAGTTGTAGCACAGACCCGAACACACCTAGACCTACATACCTGTACCAGTGAAAATCTACAAATATACATACATACATACATACATACATACATACAGTATTCAGCTTTGTTCGGGTATTTTCCCACGTCATTATAGTTGTGCTTTTAAAGTTGTAGCGATGTTTCGGCAGAATCTCATCTGCCATCATCAGGCTTCTGTATTGTGTTCGTCTGTGAGTCAGACTTTCACAGCTGTTTCTGTTTTAAATTTGGGGCAGTGGGCTAGCCCCAAATGACTATTTAGCCCCTATGACTATTTCTAAGTATTATACCTATGATTCTTGATGTATGTATCTTGAGAGCACATGCACCAGAACAAGTTCTTTGTGTGTCCAGTCACACTTGGCAGATAAAGAATTCTATTATTTTTTCTTTTTCTCATTTTATTCTATTTATAAATATATTTTTGTAAGCAGACTGTTTTCCAAGAAAGCGAGTTGATTTTTGTAAATCAAGATAAATATTTGAAAACTGTCTGCGGGCTTCTTAGTGTATTGTTTTAAAACAAGAACATGTTGGAAGAGTGCTAATGTCTTGTAATGAAGGACCCTCTCTTTTTGTTAGCAGACGTCTTGCATCCTGAGAAACTTCCAGAATGGCCCGTACCAAGCAGACTGCCCGTAAATCCACTGGTGGGAAAGCGCCACGAAAGCAGCTGGCCACAAAAGCTGCTCGAAAAAGCGCACCGTCGACCGGTGGAGTGAAAAAACCTCACCGTTACAGGTATTTGGATTAAGGCTTTTGGTGGAATTGGGGAGTGGGTTGCAACCCAACCAGGACCCCTTCTCACCTCCAGAATTATTGGTCCATTGGGGAAGTTTGCATGTCTGTTAATAACTTTTCTGTGGACATCCCAAAAGTGCTTTTTTTTCAGGAGACAATTGGACTTTCTTGTTGTTTTCTTTGGAAGACATTTCGCTTCTCATCCAAGAAGCTTCTTCGGCTCTGACAGGATGATGGGGAATGGAAGGATTGATGCTCCTTGTAGGCAGCTGGTCAGAACTGAAGAAGCTTCCTGGATGAAACGTCTTCCAAAGAAAACAACCAGAAAGTCCAGTGGCCTCCTGATAAAAAGCACTTTTGGGATACAGACTTTTCCTGTGGAAAGAACATTTCTGATTCTCAAGGGATCCTGGGAGTTGCTTGCGGGAGGTGAGCCGTGTTAAACTTACTTCCAAATCATCCCACCCAGGCCTGGCACTGTGGCCCTGCGAGAAATCCGGCGGTACCAAAAATCCACAGAGTTGCTGATCCGGAAGCTGCCCTTCCAGCGCCTGGTCCGTGAAATTGCTCAAGATTTCAAGACAGACCTGCGGTTCCAGAGTGCCGCCATTGGGGCTTTGCAGGTCGGGGTGTGTGTGTGTGTGTGTGTTTGTGTCCTCAAAATCTCTTTTCTCCCTGCTTTAAGGTGCAGTTAGAGAAGTCTTCCGCTGACAGCCAAAACTATCTCAAAAGCGTTAGGCCCTCATCTGCTGCAGGGCTGCACCCCCTAATACTACCAGTGCTAATCACCTGGCACATAAGCTTCTGCCATTTCGTGGGCTTTCTTCTGTAATGAGAGGCCTCTGGAATTCTGCAGGGTTTTTCCTTCCTCTGCCACGCTAAGACTGGGAAAGTCCAGAGCCTGGAAAGCGTTTTTTTGAATCTATATATATATATTCAAATATATGTATGGTATTCGGCTTTGTCTGGGTATTTTCCCACGTCATTGTAGTTGTGCTTTTAAAGTTGTAGCAACGTTTCGGCAGAATCTCATCTGCCATCATCAGGCTTCTGTATTGTGTTCGTCTATTCAAATGTATGTATGTATGTATACATATATATATATATGAAAGCGAAATACCCCTCATGCATCATCACAAAATCTCCAGAACCATAAAGCCTACAAACTTGAAATTTGGCACATAGGTTCCTCTTGGCTTCTAGGGGCTCACTAGGAAAGGATTTTTCAAAATGACCATCAGAGCATCAGTATTTTGTATATTATTATTATTAACACACTCTGATGCTAAGGAGTTCTACTCCTCCTCTCCACCTGGAAAGAAATCTCTTCCAAATGCAAAACGCAAGCAGAGGAGAGAATTTCAGTATTAGTTTCACAGCACTAAGCAGCTTTAGGACAGAACAGTTGAGCTAAGCCACGCCCAGGCTCCTTGCTGTCTCCTTGCTCACACAGCAAATACTGCTTCAGTTTCCAAACAGCCCTCAACGCTCTCACACACTGGCAGGACGCTAGCCAGAGGAATCCCGATGGATGCCGGTAGGCAGAGGCACAATTTTTTCCCCTTATTTTCCTCTCCAAAAACTAAGCCCCACCACACAGTTTTGTAGCGAAGCACACGGGTATCGAGCCAGTAAATTGATAACGCTTGGGGTGGGGAGGGGAGGGGAGGACCTTTCCTTCTTTGACATTGGCGGTATCGAAAGGGCAACAATTGCCAAAATCGAGTAGCCACCGTATGGATGTGACCCGGGGGGGGCGGGGGTGGGGGGGCAAGGAAAAGCCCGAAGGTTACGGCGAAGTGGAATTCCCAACTCCATCCTGACTTAGATCGTGTAACAACAACCAGCCCCCTTTTTCTAACGGTGCCTTTCTGTATCCTTTAGGAAGCCAGCGAGGCCTACCTGGTGGGCCTGTTTGAGGACACCAACCTGTGTGCCATCCATGCCAAGAGGGTCACGATCATGCCCAAAGACATACAGTTGGCTCGCCGCATCCGCGGTGAACGGGCTTAAGTTCCGCTCCCCCTTCCGACCCTTAAACCCACCCGCCCCCCCCCCATTTCTTGGCAGCCCCCACCCTGCTCGTGTATTAGAATACACTCCGGGTTTTTCTCTCCTCTCCCTCCCTCCCTCCCTCTCCTACTCCTGTTTGTAGTAGCTAGGACCTGTGAGGAAACTTGTTAGATAATCTATCATAGTAGCTCTCCGGAGGTTGGAGGAGACCTGATTGCTGTTCATCATGTACGAGCAAAAACAAAAAAAAAGGAAACCTTTGAAATCTGCAAGACGTCTGGATAATGTTTTTTTTTTCTTTTGGGGGTTTAAAATTTTTTTGTTTCCAGTATTTGAAAAAAAAAAAAAAAAAAAAGGAAAAAAAGCGGGGGGGGGGACATTTTTGAAATGATCCGGTTTTATATACAAAACTTTAAAAAAAAACCAATATAGTCGTAGGCGTTTTTCAGCGATATAAAAAGAGTTTTTTGGGTCTTGCGTTTGTAAAAGTGTTTTTGCAAAACACTACACACTTCTGTTTACCGTGTGGAGTTTTTTTTTTTCTTCTTCTTTGTATTTAGACAAGGAGTGCTTTCTTTAATTTCCTCTTTTCCATTTGTCTTGTGTCTGTGACTCTTAACCTTTGTATCTATAGGGAACCACCTTGAGACTCTAAGGAAACAAAATAAATGTTGAATGAAAACAATCTGGCTTCTTTCCTTTCGCCTTAACAAAAGAATACTTTTTTTTTTTCAGACAGACAGAGCTTTGCTGGTTGGTGAAGCTCTTCAACCAAATGGAATAGGAAATAATATAATAATAATATGGAATAACAGAATAGATGGAAGTTTGGAATAACAGAGTTGGAAGGGGCCTTGTAGGTCATCTAGTCCAACCCCCCACCCAAGCAGGAGACCCTACACCATTTCTGACAAAGGGCAGTCCAATCTCTTCTTGAAAGCCTCAAGTGATGAAGCTCCCACAATTTCTAAAGGACAGCTGTTCCCTTGGTTGATTGTCCTCACTGTCAAAAAGTTTATCCTTATTTCCAGGTTGAATCTCTCCTTGATCAGTTTCCACCCATTATTCCTTGTCTGGCTTTAAGGGGCTTTGGAGAATAGTTTGACCCCCTTCCTCCTCTCTGGGGCAGCTCCTCAAATATTGGAAGACTGCTATCATGTCTCCCCTGGTCCTTCTCTACTAGATTAGCCAGGCCTGGTTCCTGCAACCGTTCTTCGTATACCTTAGTCTCCAGTCTCCTCATCATCCTGGTTGCTCTTCTCTGCCCTTTTTCTAGAGTCTCAACATCTTTTTTATAGTGTGGTGACCACAACTGAATGCACTACTCTAGGTGTGGTCTTACTAAGGGTTTATAGAGTGGTATTAGTACCTCCCTTGATCTCGATTGTATCCCTCTGTTAATGCAGCTTAGGATTGGATTGGCTTTTTTGGTTGCCACTACACACTGCTGGCTCCTATCTAGTTGTGTCATTCATAAAGCAATCTTGAATAGAAACCTTGATAGCTTGTGCAGCAATCCTGTATAACTCTATATTATTCCTAAGCAGGAAAAAAATGGGTTTTATATATATAAAATATATATAGAGAGAGGCTCCATAAGTACCAAAAAGGATGACTCCCAAACACATTATTTTAAGGAATAAGGTAGTGAGTTACAAGGCAGCCCACACTGACAAGTTCTGGCCTTACGTGTTGAGTACCAAACAAACTGAGTACAAAATTTACACGTCAAAATGCACTGAGTACCGAATTCAATGAGTTTCAACCAGGGGTGGGATTCTACCAGTTCGCACCTATTCGCTAGAACCGGTTGTTAACCTTCTAAGCAGTTGGGAGAAATTACTGGTCTAATCCTGTAAGGAAGGCAGGAAGGAAACATTCTGGTGTTGCTTACAGAAGCTGCCTCTCCGTTAACCCTTTTTACATTCTTGGCAGGACTAGACTTCCTGTCTCAGGAACTTCTCTGGAGTTTTTCCCCCCTCCTTTGCTGGTACTTTGCTTGTGTGGAGTGACCATTCAAAGTTACAGTGGCACTGAAAAAAGTGACTTATGACCCTTTTTCACACTTACGACGGTTGCAACATCCCCACAGTCACGAGAAGCCAGGCGAGGAGATGCCTGCCTCAATGTGAGTGATGTTGAGTTGGCCAATAACATGACCACCAAGCCACGCCCACCAACTAAGCCACACCCACACAACCGGTTGTTAAAAAAATTGAATCCCACCCCTGGTTTCAACGCAATTGAGCACCAAGGTACCACTCTAAAGTTACAAAAGTTTTGTGGAAAAAAAAAGTCCCAACACCCAACTTCCTGTAAAATACCTTCTGATCAGCAGAGGGCGGTAGAGTCTCATTCAAATGTATGCAGAATGAGATTTTTATACACACAAAGTGGGACAAACTCAGCAATACTTGGCAAGCCCATCGTTTCTGGAATTAGAACAGAGTCCCCTTGGAGGTCAACTAGTCCAGCCCCCTCCTGCTCAAGCAGGAGAACCTATTATACCATTTCAGACAAAGAGACTGCCCAGCCTCTGATTAAAAACCTCCAGTGATTGGAGCACCCACAATTTCTTAATTGGCAAGCTGTTCCGCTGGTTAATGACCCTGTTTGGTTTGCATCTTCATCTTTAACTCTTAACAGTTATTTATTTATTTTTTAATTTCAGCTTAGCTAGTGTAGTGGCTGCTCCATATTCCAGGACATGATATGCCCAACATTTTTCTCCCTCTTGATTTTGTTCTTAATGGAATAGAAGAATGAGTTGGAAGGGACCTTTGAGGTCTTCTAGTCTAACCCCCTGCTTTGGCAAGAAACCATTTCAGACAAATGGTTGTCCAGTCTCTTCCTAAATATTTCCAGTGTTGGAGCATTTACAACTTCTGGAGGCAAGTAGTTCCAGTGGTGAATTGTTCTCACTGTCAGGAAATTCCTCCTTAATCCCAGGTTGCTTCTTTCCTTGATTAGTTTCCATCCGTTGCTTCTTGTCCTGCCCTCAGGTGCTTTGGAGAATAGCTTGACTCCCTCTTCTTTGGGGCAGCCCCTCAAATATTGGAAGACAGTTATGTCACCCCGTAGTCTTTCTTTTCATTAAACCAGACATACCCAGTTCCTGCAACAGTTTGCAGATTAACAGAGTTGGAAGAGACCTTACAGGTCATCTAGTCCAACCTCTCCCACCCAAGCAGGAGACGCTACACCATTTAGACCTCCAGCCCCCTAATCTTTTTTTTTTTTTAACAACAAACACAAAACAACAAATAAAACCTTCTTTTCAATTGTACAGTGTGTCGGTTGGTACATTTCTCTTGTGCATAATATCAACATTCTTTCCCTCTTAAGTTTAGATTAAAATTCATATAAATCAGCTATCCATATATGTTATTATTAAATCATCATCAGACTCAATCATCTTTGTTGCTCTTCTCTGCATTCTTTCCAGAGCCTCAACCTCTTTTTTACATCTCTCCGAGTTCTTCCTTATGCTGTTATTTATACTTGTGAAATATATTTTTTTTCCCATAATTTGGAGCTGGGGAGCTATAACGCCTCTGGATTCATCAAGAGATCTCAAGAGTTCCCCAAGAAGCCAAGGAAGGACACAGGAGCCCAGGATTCAGTCGTGTGGGTAGTCCTCGACTTTAACGCCCGTTGGTTTAGTGACCGTTTGAAATTGGCAACATCACCGGGGGTAAAAAAAAGGACTCGCGATCGGTTTTCCCTCTTAGCGGTCTTTGCAAGCTTCGCGTGTAGATCAAAATCTGGGCACCCAGTTGTGTTCAGATTTAGGACAGTTGTGGCTTCCCCGGGGGGGTCCCATGATCACCAGTTGCAACCTTCCCGGCTGGCTTACCGGCAAAAGTCTATGGGAGAAGCCCTATTTGCTTAACGACGGCATGGTTTGCTTAACGAAGGCGGCAAAAGGGTGGTAACGTGGGGCAGAACTCAACAAAGGCCTTTTGTGATGACCCGGGGCGTGACACAAAAATAACATCACAAAAATAGAATAAAGTCCCTTTAATGTCTCCAGCTTGGGCCCCAATGTCCAATTATCCGCGGCTGGATATGAAACTCGTAAAGAAAACAGTTTACGGAGGGAGTAAATGCAGTCTGAACCCAAAGTAAAGTTAATTAGAAATAAAATAAAAAACCAACACAAACCACATTGACGGAATTATTACAGCAGGCAAGGATGATTAATTGCAGACTTCTGCCAGATAACACAGCAACCACAGTTGGGAAGAAGCCAAAACACAGATAGGCTCCGACAAGAATAATGCACGCTTTGCTTCCAGCAACTTTACCATGCGCAGTTTGTCCTTTTAAACAGTCCTCCCAGCTGCAGCCCATGAAGGAGATCAGGGCCCTTTCCTCCCCCGTAAGCCACACAACCCACTTTTCTCCCTTATCAGCTCCTCCCTGCGTGCCCTAGGATGAAGAGGGGATGGGCCTGGGTCTTCCTCTGAATGTCCATCCGGCCTGTGCCCTTCCCCAGTTTCCTCCACAACCACCGGAGCCACACTCCCACTCCCTGTCAGCTGTTCCATCTCTCCCTCGGAGTCAAGACTCCAACTGGGGCATGACACCTTTCTTAGCACCAGAAATTTGGCCGTAAGTCGAAGACTACCTGTACAGGGTCCAGTCTGTTCCTGTTTCCCCCCCCACCCCACCGCACCCCCTTCTTCCCCCATCCCTCCTTGGAACATTTCTGAAGGTATTAACAAGAGCTTGGAATTCCTGGAGGGATTTGCACACAGGGGAAGTTTTGTCCTGGCTGTGGTTTCTTCCCCCTACCACCCTCTTGCACCTTGGGGCTGGGGAGTTTGGAGAAATGGCCTCACTGAAAGGGTCAACTGTATACTTTGAGAACACAGAATCCTAGAGCTGGAAGGGAACCTCGGAGGTCTTCTAGTCCAACCCCTTACTCAGGCAGGAAACTATACCATTCCAGCCAAATGGTTGTCCAGTCTCTTCTTAAAAACCTCCAGTGTTGGGAGCACCCACAATTTCTGGATTCAAGTTCTTCCACTGATGAAATGTCCTTGTTTTCAGGAAATTTCTCCTTCGTGGTTAAAAAATGGAGTAAAATGTTCATTTCATTGACTAAGCTGCAGAAAGGTCATTGGAAAGAAAGATAATTTGACCCAATACTGTACTTTTGGAATGGACCTTAATCATTACATGCTACCTCAAGAGTGATTTTTTAAAAAAAATCTCTTGACACAAGAAATATCTGTATCAAAAATATATCAAG